ATTCCCGACTCAGATAAGCCTTAAACATGCAAAAGAAATAGCTATAGGAATAATACATAAGTAATAAAACTCGGGCTTAACTTCCTCAGTGTGCGATAGAAGCGGGACAAAGATTGGAACAACATGTCTTTAGTCGCCAATTTCATGATACATCTCAATAGTTTATATCAGATGCTAGCTAAGCTTTATGATGATTAGCTGCAAATTTGAAGGTTTACAGATATCGTCAGTATGTGCAGAGACCGTGGAAGTTTCTTAATTTATTGATAAACAAGGCAATGTGGTTGAATTTCCATTAGTCAAACGAAGAGAGCTTTAAAGGCATATGTTATTTTCGGGTACTTACGTATTAACGCAACCAGGCCAAAATTCGCATAAATCGCCAAATTTGGCGACCCTACTTACGGCAACCCTACGTGTTATACGTAGTTTTTCGTAAAGAAATTATTTTCTTACTGGTTAGATTGAATGCCCTGAAATACTTTAACTATGGGTATTTGGGATCTGCCTGCGAGTGAAAAAGATGCTGTTGAATTGTTGCAGGGATATGGAATTATACCGAACGAACGTACTTGTAAAAATTCTCATAAAATGAAACTGTATTTTGGAAAGCAAATCTTCTGGAAATGTAACGTCGAAGAGTGCAATCAACATTTGGGTGTGAGAACCGGAAATTGGTTTGAAGGTAGCCGAATTTCATTTGTGACAGCGGTGCGCTTCATTTATTGTTGGTGTAAAGAGTTAACCTCAATTAAATTTTGTGCAGAAGAGATGGGAATTGCTGACAAAACTGTTATAGATTGGAATAATTACATGCGGGAGATATGTGCCCTTGAAATGGATGAAAAAGAAAGAAAGCAAATAGGCGGCGAAGGACTTATTGTGAAAATAGACGAAAGTTTATTTGTAAAAAGAAAAAATAACACTGGACGTGTACTACCACAGCAATGGGTTTCCGGCGGAATTTGCCGAGAAAAGAAAGAGACTTTTTTGGTTACTGTACCTAACAGAAGCGCCGTTACCCTCATGGAAAAAATTTGCGAAAATATCAAGGAAGGAAGCATCATTTATTCGGATTGCTGGTAAGGATACAATACAAGTGAGTTCGAAAATGCTGGATTTCTGCATGGAACTGTTAATCACAAATATAACTTTGTGGATCCCAACACGGGCGTTCACATGTAGAGCGCATGTGGGGTTCAGCCAAATGGCGCAACAAAAAGCAGAGAGGAACAGCCCGTCATCACTTGACTCATACCTTATCGAATTTATATGGCGCCAAGCTCAAGCTGTTAATGGCGAAGACGGTTTTCAATCAGTGCTAAAAGCAATAGCCAAAAGATTTCGGCCGAAAAAATAATTCTGCAACTTACTCAAATTCGAAACTGGAAGGGTTTAATTGCTATTTTATATTTTAAAACAAAATAATATAAAAAACTGTATTAAAAATTATATGTAATTAATAAATGTACATTTTCTTTCTATTCATACTTTTTTACTCAAACTTACAAATCGTGTCAACCTGATTGCGATAATACGTAAGTACCTATTTTCGGTTGGGGGTAGGGTCCTTTGACCCAGGCACCCCGGTGGTTCACCATCACTCGTTGCGTAAAGACATATGTTAGGAAAAAGGAAATACATAAACCTTCTGTTGTTCAACAATGTTGGTAGGAAAATCCCTTCTCCATTTTTCTCCAGTCAAAATTATTCAAAAAAAAAAAAAAAAAAAAAAAACCTTCGGTTGACGAAATAGAATTTAGAGGAGCGTTTCACATTCGTAGAAATCTTTCAATTCTGGTTAACGATCCCAATTCCAATCCACACATTAGAGATTTGGCTTGCCCAATCTAAAATTTCTGTCAACGTGAACAAGACGAAGACTATATTATTTACCAGAAAAACCAAAATCAAAAAGAACTTGCAGTTCTACAATGCCAGCATTCCATGGGCCAAGCAAGTCCTTTATCATGGGGTGATCCTCAATAATACTCTTACATGGTCCCCACAGATCACTTATATTATCCAGAAGTTCCGGGCTCGTAAAGCACAACTCAACCCCTTAATTGCTCGGAACAGTTTGCTATCTATAGATAACAAGCTACTTATTTACAAGTCCATTCTCAAACCATTACTTTGTTATGCTAGTCCCATATGAGCACAGACACGCAAAACTAACAGGGGTAAACTGCAGGCATGCCAGAACCTAGTGCTCAGACAGTGCTGAATGGTACATTCGTAACAACCGAATCACCAGTGCTAACTGGTGCATTCGTAACAACCGAATCCAGGAGGAGCTTGGCATGGAGTAGCTAATATCATTTTGTTACAAACCTGGAACTAAATTTCATGCTCGATAACAACTCATCAATAACTCATGCATTAAAATCTGTAACTATGATTATAATTACTTAACTAACATGGACAGACCACTGGCTTAGCTGAATGTAACCATCATGTAAACCCCTGTGTTTTCCTTTATTTCCCAATGTTATGTACCATCACTTCATGCCTGTAGTTATTTGTATATTCATTTATTTTTGTACCATGTATTTTATCTTATCTTATTTTTTACATATGTTGTATGTATTACATCTCATTATTATTATGGATTCAGACTGCTATGAACTTGTTAAATACGATGTTTTCTCTCCAAGTCACAGCTCGACTGCTTTTCTGAGCCTCACATTACCAGCAGCTTTCGTTTCCCAGCCTCGTTACCTAAAATTATAACATATCTCTAATTAATTCATTAAGTCAAATTATCAGACTCACATTTAACTCTAAAGTACATGTTTATTCTTTAAAAAAATTATGAAATTCATACTGAAATTTAAATCCTTTTGATCAAGTTAGCTACTGACACTTTAAGCTACTTAATTTATTCTACAAGGGGTAGGGCCTTGGCCAGGCACCCTGGTGTCGCAAACACCATTCCACTGGGAGGGTTACACTTGAAGAAGTTTCTATATTTAAACCTTTGATTCCAGTCATGCAAATATATTTCTTGTTGCCTTAGCACCTCCAATAATCGTCATTCGGCGTGTAAGTTTAATCAAGATTATTTAAACTAACGTTGATTCTTTCTTTTATTCCTTGTTGCGTTGCGTACTTGCTCAGTATAGAGCAGTGGTGCCCAACCTTTGGCCTATCGCGAGCACATTTCCAAAACATCAACATTTTTGTTACACATATTTCCAATCTTATGTGATACATCTGAAATATTATTACGGTAATGGGTTTGAGATGAATAATAATATATGGTTGAACTTTATGGAAATCAGAAGCGGAATTCAAATTTATTTTTCAGTGCATTTAGGTTTCCGAGTATTTCGCTGTTTCAATTGCCTTGTGGTTATTAATATGGCTAATAATTCTGAAAAATGGGTGAAATTGTTTCTTTCGTCTGATTTATCCAAAATTTAACTTTATTGAAAAAGCAGTTACAGTCCCAGTCAATTGAAAAAGGGTTTTTTTTCTTTCTCTGGAGATCTTCGTTCAGTTTGCTCAGTTTTGCAGTTATATCCGTTAAAAATACAGATCGGATATAACCAATTATAACTTCCAAAAACTGCTTTATTGGCGAAAGAAGCTCTACGAATCGTTGCAGTACTTTTCCACTGTTGAGCCATCTAACATCGAAATGAAGCAATAATATTCCATGTTCGCTATCAAGTTCATCAGTCAGCAATCGATTATTTTATAACGTCTTGCAAGATATCTCTTATGACTGTAAATGCTTACCCTATTTTAACAATTAAGAAATATAAATGAATGGTTATTTTTAAAATATTTTTTGTTCATAGTATTGTAACAGCTTTAAATAATATTAAAATTTTGTAGTTTAAACAATTTAAATAGATGAACATTAAGGTATTTGTGTATGGCAATATTTGAAACCAGACTCGAGTGCCACGTGCGACTCTCGCACGAAGAATGTAATTTAATTTTAAATGATAGAATATGTTTTCTCTTGTTTGTACGTCGCCATTTTTGAGTGTTAAATAAAAGTTATTGCTGTGTTCCATCATTGGAGTTTCTTCATATCGCCGAAGAAGTATCACAGTACCTAATCGGGCTGTCGAGCACATACAAAACGATCGGCGAGCACAAGTTTGGGCACCACTGGTATAGAGGGTTATGAAACTTTTATGCCATGTGGTGTGGCTTTCAAAATATTGTGAGTATATTTTGCCCGAAGTTAAAGATCAGTTTCATGGCATGTGGTGTGGCTTTCAAAATATTGTGAGTACATTTTGCCCGAAGTTAAAGATCAGTTTCATACTAAAGCATCAGAAAGAGATTGAAGATGGAATGCTTAACAAATGGCGACAAGATGTACGATACTCTAAAAAGATAGATGCCTCGATTTTGAAGAAATGTGAAACTCACCGGTATAAAATAACAGCAGCACTAAAATCTGAGAAAACAGAATCAAGGCAATAGAATTGGTCCTCACTCAGCTATTGAGAAAAAGAGTAAGAGATAGAAAATGAACATCTTAGAGTGGGTGGACAACAAAAAGGAAATGGAAGTAGGACAACAGAAGTGAGAAAACAAGCCAATGAAGAAGCGGGTGCACAGTCTAAGCAGAGAGATGAACATAATGGATAAAAACAATGAGCTCTATTGAAACTATAGCTCAACAGCCAATGACTATGAAGGCAAGAATCCCCGAGTTACGTTATTTCAGGATGTTTCAGAAGTGACATGCAATAACAGAAAGAGATTCAGCTTTAGGCTCAAAATTCGAAAACAAAGAATAAGACAGGATTATTTTGTGGATCAAAGCACCCGAAAAGACTAAGGAGGAAATTGTGGGGCAATTTAAAATACTCTACCAAACTGGCAAAGACCGCGGCAGAAATGCTAAGTAGAATCCAGATTAATGTTATTATCGACAGTTTTTTTACGTGGGATAAATTTATCCATCGGATGGGAAGATCTGTAGTTCCCTGTCATCAAGCTCCTTTACAAATTAATTTAAAATGTGTATGTAGCGCTCACTGTTTACTGTCTCCTCGAGAAATATTGGTTCCACGATGCGAATGGCGGACAGAGTGCACCAGACTCCAACTTTGTCTGAATGGAGTGGCATTTCCATTATCGCAAGTGAGTTTTCATTCGAACAGATGCGTGTATTGTGGGAATTGACATATCCGGACAAGTGAAACGAAGCTTCCTCTGTGAACCATGTCAGCTCCAAAATGTTGGGGATACGGTTGATAAACAACAAGAACACTCACAATAGTCCACCCCTTCGCCCTGTCTAGGTCTTGCAATTCCTGCACCGTTGTTACTTTGTACGGTTTCATTCCGAATGATTTAGCAGCTCTCTGACACGTAGAGTAACTGCATCCAGTCTGCTGGTATACGCATCGGAGAGATTTCTTTGGTGACTTTAGTAAGCGTTCTCTGACATCGTCCACAACACCTTCACGTATTGTTATGTGCTTTTTCCCTTTTCGAAAGCAGAAAACCCGTTGTTTCCCTTTCCCTGTAACGGCCAATATTGTATTCTTTGCGAGCACGTCTCCACGAAATTCTTTCCGATATGCTCGTTGGGTTTAAACAATGGACTTCCAGAACATCTTCACTATAAACACACATGCCGACAACGGATACGACATCGTGACCAATTTCGATTTATCCGATCACAAGAATCACGCGGAGGACAACACTCAACACTCGACTAACCTGGGAAGCGTATGCAGACTCGTTGCGCGGCCTTCGCAGATCACGAGCACCGTGCAGACGACGCAGGTATATATTTTTTTGGCGAAATGCCAAACTGTTCTGATTTCAACAGCATGCAGTACTTTTGTATGGAATATCGTAGTATTCGTTATTTATTATTATTATTATTATTATTATTATTATTTTTTTTCTTCTGTTTTTCGGGTTCTACATCAAAAAACGGAACGGACCACTAAATTTTCACACTCCCTTAAATCTTTTGCCGCAAACCGCATTAAAATCGGATACTTTTCATAAAACTACAACCGAATGAAATAGGTCAGTTCTAAAAGAATCACCTTGTGCTTTGACACTCGAAATTTAAAGTAAAAACAGGAAACGCTTAACTACGGAATATTCATATGCTTGTATTCTTCTTAAGACTATTAACTATTAGCCAGGCTTGACTAAACTGGCGTCACAAGTTCAGCATCAGGAAGACACTGGTATGGAAGAGAAAAATAAAGTTTATTCAGTTACGTTTATTTTTATAATAATTAAAATTAGGATCTAATTTTTATGTTTAAAGCATATCCTAATTATTTCCTTAATAATATTTACCTTATTATTTAAGACTGTTATAAAATGGAAATACCGCTGACCCTAAACGTCTTTTTAATACAGACATTTTGGTTGATTTTGACCCGGAACCAAAAACGATTGCCGATCCCTGGTTTAAGATTTAAGCATATTTCTGACCTTGATAGAGAATTCAGATAGTACTCCCTTTGTTTTATCATCTCAGTAGTTAAAAAATATACAGAATTTGAGCAGCTACTTTAAAATGTAGCTTAAATAAGTAATCATGTTTAGTGCTACTAATTAAAATGCGAAACTGTTTGTATTTAGTAGCTTACACATATTGAAAGTTTTCAGTCTCTATTATGAAAGTATATTTTGGTTTTTAGAGTTAAAATAGTTATGATACAAATAAATTTATTATTTCCAGTCAGATATTTGTAATCTCGAGTCAGATTATCAGCTTGTACATTTGCTGCAAAGCCTCAGAACAGCTATAGTGAATGTACAGATATCAAAGCACAAGCTACAAGTTCCAGCAAAAGGCAGTACGTGAAACAAAAGTCAACACTTAAGTTAAACTAGTTACGCCTATTACAGGAAATTTTACGTGAAACAAAATTTACACAATAATTTAACTTATAAAAAATCCATATAATGAATTTGAAACGTAACTGATGAAATTTTGATAGAATGCCTGAATCTGAATGATTTACTGTCAGATCCTAAATGACAAATTCACTGTATAAGCTAGAGAGAACGAAAAGTCACTTTGTTTGAATTAATGAAACTATATCAGAAAATGTATGAATGGAATAATAACGAAAATATCTTCTAACTTTTTAATTATTTTCCAAAATTTCACTTATAATTTCACTTTGGCATGTTTCTCTTCTGTCTTGCAAAGCTATGTTTTAAACAAAATAAATATTTATAGATGTAAAATAAAAATAAATAAATAAATAAAAAAAAAGGACGGCTTTCCTTTATGCGAACCAGCAACCTTTAATTAACTTTCTGCAATTCAGGATCTCCCCCCTAGACCAGTACTTTCCAGAACATTCGAGCTTATTACGTAACCGCGTCTATAAATAGAGAACTCGCGCTATTTTGCGTCAGAAGCTCTTTTCTCCCTCTGCTGCTAAGATCTGTGCGGCACTTCTCATCTTTCTTCCCTTTGTTAGAATAGTTATGACGTCAAAAGCCTAGATTTCATCGTACTTAGATTGAAACACTATTTGATATGTAATTAGGAGAATTTCATTTAAAAGAAATATTATCTGCCATTGGAATTGATTAAAGATGTACAATTAAAAGCAAAATCCTTCTGCGTCGCAATGCCCGGACTTTGATGCCAAGCTTCGTCATTCATGTCCACGACTGCTAAACTATCACAGCTTTATTAATTTGAAGATTTAAAATATAAAAAAAAAAAAATAGGACGGCTTTGCTCTATGCGAAAATGG